AGTTGTTTGGTAGACTGACAATGAAAGCATTTCCTCACCATGCATGCAGTCTCTGTGCCAGCAGAAGGTCGCTGCTTTATGTTATCAAGCCTCTTCTTTGAAGTTATCTGTAAATCACAAGAAGATTGTATTTCCTGTAATCTGTTGGTAAGGTAGTCGACGGTCAAATCGGCAGGCAGTAAAGCTTGGACAGCTTCTACAATCATATCAAATGAATCATCCAGACTCGAAAGAATGATACATGCCTTTTGTTGCTTAGGCAGTTCCATATTATGATCTGCCAACTCAGCAAACAAAGTTTTCATCTCATGCAAATGCTCAATTACATTAGCTCCTTGCTCCAATTTAAGGTTATATAACTGCTTTGACACGATAGCAGCTGAGGTTTGTCTCGCATAAATGTCACGCAAAGCCACCCAGCATGCGTTAGCAGTCTTCAAATTGCGAACATGCACTAGTTCTGAAGACTCAAGTCCCAAAATCAAATTACCATACGCACGGTCCAGCATGGCTTGCTCAGTAGGCATAGGTGCTACTGGAGGAGGGTTGTGCACAAAATGCCAGAGCCCCTCTTTCATGAAAAACAATTTCATTTTTATATTCCATGTCTGGTAGTTCTTTGAATTCAATCTTTCAAACAGAAGGCTTACTGCTGCCGTCGCCATGTTTCACTTTTATAACAGGCACTCAGACACAGAGAAAGAATCCAAACCTCAAACGAAAACCTTGACCAGACGCTCACAAGCCGGGTGATAAATACATAAATCTCCATTCACTCAGGAATCTCAGTCCTGGCTTCCAGCACTTCTGGCCTCTGTCCGGGGCTCAGTTCTGGAATAGCACTCCTGGGACAGCACAGCACACCTGAGTCAGCACTCCTGGGCCAGCACTCCTGGGCCCATAACCTGTTGCGCAGAGTGCAGCAATACTCCTATTGTGCAGGGTGCAGCGAAATTTCCAAGAAGAGTTGCCCAGGAAAAATACACATCAGCATGGCAGCTGTGCAAAATACAATGTCCATTTCTTGTTTCCCAAAAAAATCCAGTCAGAAAATATATACTAACTGGTGTTTATTGATAAAAATGCAAAATTCCATAAAATGCAAATATCATACAAAATATAGGGGAAAACACATCTTCTCATATATTGTAGCATCCAAGACTAAAATATATACTAACTGGTGTTTATTGATAAAAATGCAAAATTCCATAAAATGCAAATATCATACAAAATATAGGGGAAAACACATCTTCTCATATATTGTAGCATCCAAGACTTATTAACATTACAAACTTAACAAAGTCTCTAGGTAAAAACAAACTCTCAGAGAAGAGGTACATTACTTGATTATTAGTTACAACTACATAGCCCATAAAAACGACTACATGGTGGCTACCACATAAAACCACTGTACTCAAACTAAACTAAGGTAAACTGAGAGGCTGAGCATATGATCCTCCCATTATATTGCCACTCCATACCCCTCCACTGAGTAACTAGCATACACATGCCAATAGGTGGCAGTAACTAGCAGTATACGTGGAGACACACCTGTCATGCGATATCTCTAGTCATAACAATTCTGTGCAGATAACAAGCTGCATTTCTTCCCATGGGAAAGAAAATCCTAACGGGG